CGGCTTCCATGTCCGGGGCTCCCTGGAAGGACTGGCAAGGGGGCGCCGAGGGGCCGCGCTGGCCGAGCAGCCCCGGCACCTGTTGGGCCGCCACATGGCAGAAGCGGAAGCGGCCCAGCAGGCGGCGGCCTGAGCAGCCCCCACCCCCCTTACATACAGGATCCTTTCCTGCTGAGTCATCAGCCCCTTTCCCGAGCCGGAGGGAGACCCAGCCCGACATATGGAGGGCCGCGGAGAAAGGACGGGGAGGCAGATCCAACACGCTCCCCCCGCCCTGTTCCCGCTCGGAGGAGAAGACCCCCCCCCATCCGCTTCAAAGTCCCCACCCCTGTCGCGAGGGGAGGCAGGGGCGTCTCCATAGCGACCGGGCCTACAAGGGAGAAGCCTCTTGACAGGCCTGAGTGAGGGCCCCTCCGCTGCCCACCTTGACGTCGTCGTCCTCGTCCTCGCCGGCCCATCGATCCACCGCCACCACCCCGGCCGGCGTGGGTAGGAGCCGCCTGGCCACGGGGTCGGGCGCCTCGAAGGAGTCCACGTCTGTGGCGGGAGAAGGAGGGAAAGCGGCGTCAGCGGACGGCGCAGGGCCGAGGGGAAGGGGGGAGGGAGGGAGGGAGTCGCGCCGCTGGGTCGGACTAGGCCGGGCCGGACTTACCCCAGGAATCCGCCTCGGCCGCCATCTTGCCCGCTTGCTCGCTCAGGCCAGTCAGGCAAGCAGGAGGGAGGAGGAGAAGTAGGCGTCAGGCGCGCGGAGCATGCCGGGATGGAGGCGGCGGAGTGGAGCAATGGGCGGAACTTCCCGCCCACCCGCTCCGCCCCCTCTCAGACCCCGACGTCGGCCATAGATTTACTAAAATGGTGACTTGACCGCGGGGACCCAGCTTCCGGCTCTGTTTAGGCCGGATGGGAGTTACCCGAAAAAGCAGAGGGAGAAGCAGGGTCTCTGCAGACTCCCGGCCGCTGCCTTGACATTCATTTATTCTACGGGTGAGGAAAAACAGCCCCAGACCTCATGGTTTACGCTCTGACACAATCACGGCGCAAAAGCGAAAGGGGTTGCAGGGCGGAGATCGGGGAAGCGGAGCAGCCTCAGGCCCTGGAATTCTTGGCATGGCCAGCTTGGGGGAGGCAGAACAGCTTAAGCAGAGGCGGCGACAAAAGTTGCTGGTGGGGAGGCCCTGCGCTCCAAGTGCGATGCCTGCGGATGGCTGACCCTTGAGGGAGGAGCCCGTGGAGTTTATTCCATGCTGCCTCTCCCAACTTGCTGCCTTCCAACTTCCAGCAGACCCCCAGCCTGCGCCACCATGGGGATATCATAGAACTGCATGGAGTTGGAAGGGACCCCAAGAGTCATCTAGTCCAACCCCACGCAATGCAAGAATCACAGCTAAAGAATTCCTGACAACCGCTACGTAAAAACCTCCCATCAAGGTGAGGCCACCACTTTCTGAGGAAGTCCGTTCCACTGTCCCAACAGTTCTTACGGTCAGAAAGCTCCTCCTGATGTTTAGTCACAATCTCCTTTCTTGTCATTTGAATTCATTGGTTCGGGTCCTCCACTCTAGAGCAGCAGAAAACAAGTTTGCTCCATATTCCATGAGACAGCCATAAAATATAAAACACAGTGCACTTATAGAAAATATGAAACACTTATGCCTGCAGGGATTTGAGCTGGTGACCCTGCGGCCTGTCTTAGTGCCCTTCACTTTTGCATTACTGCAAGTCTACTGACCTTTCCCAGCTGTTGTCTCCACTTTCAAGGCTTCGAATGCAGAATAAAGTTGACTGTTGCTTTTTGCTACTTGAAACAATGGTTCTGTTACATTAGGCTTTTTTGTAGCCTTACACCATGACTGGCTCCTGATCGCTGCTATTCACTGCTATCCTGAGAGCCTTTTCACACATGACACTGTCAAGACAGATAGTCACTACCCTACCTATTATTTAATTCAATCCCAGCCTCTCATCTTTTGGCAGAATGACAGCAAGAGCACCAGTGTGGTGTTTGAATTTGGGAATTAGAATAGCTGGCAGGCAGCGGCAACCATGCCTGGGCAAGTATGCCTGTCTCCTTTGTTTTGCTTTGAACTGTTGTGACTGAAGTGGGAGCTCACGGAGCCTCAGGACTTTGCAACAGGCAAAATTCCCACCTTTAACTCTAGGGGGCGCCCTGCCACCTCCTTGCTCAGCTCTAATCAGCAGTCAAGACTGAGTTACATCTGGCAGCTCTGAGAATCTGCAGAGGTTTTTAAAACACTCTAAGCACATGCATGTTTCAGATTGTGTGATCAATTTTGTAGGGGCCGGACAGGAGACTGCAGAATACACTAGACCTGCCCTGGATGCTGCAATCAAAAGGGACAGATAGGCAGTTAGCAGCCTCCAGGTCGCTGGGAATCAGGATTGGTAGAGCTGGAAGGGAGCCGAAGAGTAATCTAGTCCAACCTTGTTTCTCAAGTGCCTCTGAAAAGCCCGCTATAAACAACGAGAGGCACTTTAGGGAAGTCAATAGCAGGTAGCCTGCCAAATGACCAGCAGCAGCTTTCACCAACCTGGTGCCCTCAAGGTGTTTTGGACTACAAGTCTCATCAGTTTTGCCTGGGCTTTCTCTGCTTTTTGCCACTGGATGGGTTTTGAGATTCTTTGATTCAGCTTGGCTCAGGGCATCTTTTGCTGACCAGGGGGCTGATGGGAGTTAATGGTCCAAATCATTTGAAGGCACCACTCTAGCAGAGGTTGTGTTAAAGTAAAGGTAAAGGGACCCCTGACCATTAGGTCCAGTCGTGGCCAACTCTGGAGTTGCGGCGCTCATCTCGCCGAGGGAGCTGGCATACAGCTTCTGGGTCATGTGGCTGGCATGACTAAGCCGCTTCTGGCGAACCAGAGCAGCGCACGGAAACACCATTTACCTTCCCGCCAGAGCGGTACCTATTTATCTACTTGCACTTTGATGTGCTTTCGAACTGCTAGGTGGGCAGGAGCTGGGACCGAACAACGGGAGCTCACCCCGTTGCGGTGATTTGAACCGCCGACCTTCTGATCAGCAAGTCCTAGGCTCTGTGGTTTAACCCACAGCGCCACCCGCGTCCCAGAGGTTGTGTTAGGTTCTAACAAAAAACAAACGCAAGTTTGCAGTCACCACCCCTTTTGTATTTAAAAAGAGTAAATCTCCTTTGTGTGAGAATTACTTCTAAGAGAAGAAGATAAAGATTTGATTTAACTTAAAGCTGCATTTGTTAGGAAACCTGATGTCTTGAGCATGCTCAAACCAAGCACTTGCACAACCCTGCTCAGGGAAGTTTTTAGTTTGTGATGCTATATTGTGTTTTTACTATTTTTTGTTGGGAGCTGCCCAGAGTGGTTGGGGCAACCCATATAAGTAAATAATAATAATAATAGCAGAGATCCACAAACCTATGGAGATGTACGTAAGATAATAGATCTAATTTTTACTGTTTACAAAGCGCTGCACACCCGTTAACTTTAGAAAAGTTTTGTTAGGATTTAATTCTTTTTTAAAAAGCTGGAGTTGTGGATAGGTGGTGCCAGATGACTTGCTGCCCCATTTCTGATGTTTACTTGAGTGAGGGAATTCAATATCCTAAGCCGTTCAGGAAGGAATGTCATTTGCTGCTTAGGGGTTAGTAGTAGGTTTTGCTTTAGGTTTTAAGTTCTTTCTTGCTGTTCACCTCTAACCCACAAGCCTGTGTCAGCCATATTATGCATGCAAAATCCTTGAAAAAGAAACTTAAAACAAAGGAAAATGTATAGTAGAAATAACATATTATGCCCTTGTAATAACTAAACAGTGGGGGTAGTGTCATATATTCTTGTTAAACAGTTTTCATCAGGGAGCGAGAAAAACTGGTATGTCCCATTACATAGTTCTTTTCAAGATAAGATTCAGAGTCTCTACTGATCATTTCACTGGAGGGTTCTTTTTTTAAATTACTAAGCCATTTGCAAAATGCCTAAATATTGTGATTTGCTTTAGACAATCTATGGCTGCTTTCTTATTTTTATTTTAATAGTCTGTATATTTTAATACAGCATGTGATTGGTCAATCATAAATCATATTCATAATTAACTGGTTTTTTAAAGGCACCAAAAAAAATGAACAATGACTCACATTTTGAGCATCAGAAACCAGTTTACAAAAGGATGCAAAACATGACAGCCAGTGAATGAAGAATTAAGACACTGATCTGAAAGTGCTCAAATCTTCATGAATACAAAGTAGCAGCAGTTTGTTGTGATAGCCAAACCCAGACTAAACCCTGCAAAGGGAAAGTGCTCCTAAAATAATTCTTAGCAGATTGGAACTTGATACGGTTCAATAGCCAAACCAAACTATAGTTGAGGAAGCTTAATTATGGTTTGGACTGATACCTGAATTGACCAAGCATACTCTGCAGCAATCGGACTCAGACACCATGGCTTGTGCTAACTAGGCCATGGCACAATGTCTGACTTGGCAAACCATAACTACAGCTGTAGCTTTACCTCCAAGAGAATGGAAACAGGGATTGCTGAGCACATGGAACATAAAAGGAGGCAGCAGCTTTAAGCTGTGTCTGCCTGTCCATTTGGAAAAGAATCATCTGGTTTGGTGATAGGGTTTTTAAAAATCACATCAAAGATGGGTGCTTTTGCTAAAAAGGGTGGTGGTGACAGATGAGGAAAATTTGAACAACTTTGGACTTTTCTTTATGCAAGTAGGAATTCAGCTGGAGTAAGTGATGGAATACAAGTTTGTGTCCTCTGCCTTTTTTCAATGATAGTTCTCAAAATGCATTTGGCCTAAATGATTTGTTCTCTATAACAAAAGGAAGACCTTCCCATACTACCTTGTTTAGTTATTCCAAATTCAAGAAAAAAAACAACCAAACCATGCCAAAGATTGAAATCGCAACACCGTATGACATTTACAATAACCATAGTAGCATTTTTACATTTCCACTGAAAAGGGACAATGGGAATTAAAAATCAGACTTGCACCAACTTACAAAATGATACTTTAATATGTATTTACAGAGCAGCCTGCAATGGTTGATTTAGCTGTCCTAGGTAGGACTGTAGATTTCCCTACAATTTCTAATAATCGTTGTTGTAAAAGCTCACATTCTTTCTTCTTTTCTCTTTTCAGTGATCACATAACAGGTAGGTTAGTAATATGCACTGTGTCAGCTTCACGAAAAGCAGTGGGGTTTGTAATGGATTTTTTTTTTTTAAAAAGGAAATGCACAAATGCTTCAGAAAGGTACTCTAAAGAAGATGCTGTACAGTTTTTCCTTCAAGTCACCAAAAAATGTCCAACTATTTATTTGGTGGGGAGGAGGTTCTACTCACTTATTTGTGAACTGCAGAAAATAAAGAATCTCTCTGTGCCTACCTTCCACTGAGGCAGGTACATTTTGCTCCCATCGCAGCTGCCATTATCGTGCTGCTGTCACCCCACTTTTAGCTGGTGCTTCTATCAAGCTGAAGAAACTCAGCCTGGGCAGGTGTCCCTGCAAAGCCTCCTCGGTCAACTTCTGTATCCAAGTGTGAACAGAAAGAGTGTGCAGGGGATGCCTCTTCCTAGAGACCACTGGGAAAAACTGCTGTGGGTTGCTAGCATCGGTAGGAGCAATAAGGGAGTGTTTCTTGGTTATCACTAGATGTATCTTTTCCTTAAAAAAAAAAATGTGGGAAATTTAAAACTTAACATTTTCAAAATCATATGTATCTATATCCCTATTTTTAGCAAAACAGGAAGGGAGTGGTTACAGGGGTCACTTCTCTGCAAACACATACACATTTATAATTATATATGTATATATATATTAATATACATATACATATATATATATAATTTATTATACATACATATATATGTATATACACATTTATATATATATATATATAATTAGTAACATTATGTACATTTTATTTCAATAAAGACGTTAAGACAAACAGCATAAAGATGTTCAGATGCCCTAAAGATAAATACATTTCAGAGATTCTCATTAAAATGAATTTGTATCATTTTCCTGCAAACAAAATACCTTTAGCATTCAAGATAGCAAAGGCCTTTCTTTCTTTCTTTCTTTCTTTCTTTCTTTCTTTCTTTCTTTTTCTTTCTTTCTGCAGAAAATCCACCAAAATTTTGTTTCAAATGAATAATGATTTTCCACAAAGCAGGCTTGCTCTACATGCTTACTTTTTTTAACAGTTCAGTGACACAATGTGCTAGCTACATATACAACAGATAATATAGTAAGAAAACACTCAACCTGATGAAAAGTTAAAATCTTCATTAATACATTGGAAAAAGTTGATATAACTCATGCCTTTTAAAATCAAAAAATACAAAAATTAAATGTTTTCCTAAAAAGATTTTCCTTATTTTAAGGACTCATTTGAAAATGAAGCTGCGTGTAATTTGTACAATAAAATTGTACAAGTAAACAGGTAATATACATAAAAAATTAATTGACATACTTCTCAATTATCAGTTGTCCACCTTTAATTTCCAATACTGTACTTTCTTTAACAAGCATACAAAATATCAAACTTCTCTTTAGAAAAAGTGCCATTCTGCAACACCCTTTACACAAAAACAGCCCGAGCCTATGGCATGTCAATGCAGTTTAGAGGCAAAGCTTACTAACTTTTACAAATTTTTCCCTTCCATAAAAAGCCTCCTAAAAAGGAGATTACACTCCATTAAAAAAATATCAGCCTCTTTGTACAAGCTGCATTAGAGAACCAAGGCTTGAAAACCATTTCCATATAGCATAGAAAACCACTCTGATAGCATATCAGCTGCACTGGTGGCAAAGGAGTGTACTGAACCACAGGGTTATGCACAGTTACTGTGGTGGCCCTGTCCCTGCTAGGCAAGAAGTTTAGCGTTGATTGTAACAAGCTGCATAGCAGAGAGACCAACCCACGCAAGACAGTTTCAAATACTGAACTGCTCTCCACAATACTTCATTCTTGGAGGACACTGAAGGCAGAAGTAACTGAATTGCATTAGACCAAGCAAGCTCTCCCCAAGGACTTGTACTATGCACAGTAGACTCTGAGGTATTGATCCTTGTCCATCAGCCATGTGCACCACCACAATAGATCATCTCTGTCCAGAGTACATGCCATCACAATGGTTTAAATATTCTGAATATTAGTAATTCTTATATTTTTTCTTATCTAGCCAGTCTCTTGATTTTTTTTGAAAAGATTTCCACTACAGTAGAATATTACAGAAACAAAAAATATATATTTAAACGCAGATTTCTAAATGAAACTTACATGGAATAAAACTAGATAATATTTTTAAACAAATATACAGTATGCAGGCAGTCAAAGCAGGAAAATGGCCATTCAATTGTATAATAAAAAACTAATAAAACTTGGCTATTCCCAGAAAAACTATGAAGCCGCCTCAACTAAAAGGAATGCATAATGAAATTCTAAACTCTAATACAAGTCAAAAATGTAAGAAGGTTATAAACCTTAACAGGGAAAAAAAACATTTACTGGCCATTCCTGTTGAAATGAGAATCTTAAAAGTAACACAAAGTGGCTATAAACCCACTTAGAGAGCACCGAACAGAGAGAAAAGAAAAAGAGTCCATTTTCAATCTCTGTTATTTCATAAAATCCTGTGTGTGTGTTTATAGGTCAAACTGCTGGTGGCAGAAACAGAATTCTTTAAAAACGGCAGATGTCCTGTACATAAAAAAAATTATTGGAGTTGCACTAGTTCTAAAGACGCTTCTGTTCTAGCCTACCTACTGTATGGATTCCATTTGGCGAATATTATTATATAAAGTTCTTCTGTAACCCTTGATTATTGTTGGGCACCAGAGATAAGAAAAGCGAGACAGGGTACAAAAATGCAAAAATTTCAACAGTAATGGCAATGTTTTTGTTTTAGTCCAAAAAGAAAAGGAAAAAAAAGGTCCTGCATTTTCTTCTCCTTCAGCTACCTGGCAAAGCATTGGTGTTTAGTCAGGGGGTAGTAAGTCGTGCAAGCGAAATCTGTCTCTGATGTGAGGTCGAACATCTTCATTCTAAAAAGAAGCAAGGAAAGAAAAACCAGTAACTTCCATGTCTCACATGTAAGAAGCAGCTCCACTTGTAAGTGCACAGTAGTTCACCACCAAAGCAGAAGAAAAGATGTCAACAGAGATTCTAATTTTCAACTGCTCACCTGCAATTTTTCCACAATTCTCTTTTACTCAATGTTATGCCTAAGCCTACTTCTATGCAGAATTTCCAAGTACACTGACTTCTTGCATGCATGTAAAATCCAGCGAATGATTTTGCTGTTGTTCCTCTCCAACCCAATTCCAGCAACTCAAGGCAGCTCCACTACTCTAGCCATCCTCTGCAAAATTCCACATTGCTCGGCCTCCTGAAAGCGTTCATCCTTGAGCTTTGGCAGACTTTACATTTACTAATGCAGAAGCTATAGCAGGAGTGGGGAACCGCCAACCCGTGTGCCAAACTGGAACCTGTGCTGGGCCAAATTAAGCCAGGCAGGCTAGAGGTTCCCTGCCACTGCTCTAGCTTCTTTTTCCCAAACCACACCAACCTGCCCCACACCTAACGAGACATGCAGCATCAGGTGTTGGGCAGGTGCACAAAGTGCCAAACCTTAGAAGTGCACGTCTGATTACTGCCACCACCAATTAGTGAATGGGCACTTATAAAGGTAAAGGGACCCCTGACCATTAGGTCCAGTCATGGCCGACTCTGGGGTTGCGTGCTCATCTCGCTTTATTGGCTGAGGGAGCCGGCATACAGCTTCCGGGTCACATGACCAGCATGACTAAGCCGCTTCTGGCGAACCAGAGCAGCGCACAGAAACGCCATTTACCTTCCTGCCGGAGCGGTACCTATTTATCTACTTGCACTTTGACGTGCTTTCGAACTGCTAGGTTGGCAGGAGCAGGAACCGAGCAACGGGAGCTCACCCCGTCGCGGGGATTCAAACTGCCAACCTTCTGATTGGTAAGTCCTAGGCTCTGTGGTTTAACCCACAGCCCAACCCACATCCCTCTGAATGGGCACTTAGAGCAAGCCAAATGAGATTGGGTGCAGTACTAAGTTCCCCATGGGGAATTCCATAGTGCAGCCAACCCCACAAGAAAGCAGAAGTCAATGACTATCAGCTAACATATGCTAACTTCAAGCTCCATGGGACTTGTTGTACTACTGAGCTCCCCAAACGAAACTCCACAGGGAGTTGAAGGGGCTTGCAAAGAGCAGAGGAAAAGCTCCTTACAGGCAGCCCTGCTAAGTGTTTTGAAGTGCCCGTGATCAGCTGATCAGTGGTGCTGAAATCACTGTGCAGAAATATTTGCAAACCCTGCATGATGATCTGGAGTCCCAAACAATGTTTTTTTAGGGAAGGCTTTTTACATCAACATCAGCATCCTGAATTATGCCCAGAAAGCAACAGAGGGCCACTACACTTGTAATGCTATCATGTTTTAAGAGGAAAAATTCTTTCAAAAGATTAATCACTGAAATACATACCATTTCTACAAGTTTCTCCAGAAAAGGAATCAATTTTAGGAGCTCATTGTCATTTTTATCCATGAACCAGCTCTCTATAGGAATTCCATTTGAAAGCTAAAAAAAGCAAAAGATCAGAGGCAAGTTAAATTATTTATATATTTTTATTTAAATTTATAAACCCATCCTTCATTCAGCTCACAAGGCATCTTATAATTAAATACATGCAATTAAATGGGCCAACACCAGACATATGGTCAATTTACAAGAATTTCTGACGTGAGTTCAGGCAAGTAGCAATACCATCTTACTGTGAGTTTCATTTTTGGCAATTCCCCTAAGAGCCCAACTGTCCCCAAATATGAAAAGCTGTAACAGTGGGAAAGAAGGCTGGGGAAAGCAGCTGGAAACTTCAGTGCATTAAGTGCATCTTGCCTTACTACAGATTGTAGCCACAATCAATACAGTGCAACTTCTATTTCTGTCAATGGATCATATCAAAACTTTGTTTGTTTCCTCTCCATTCCAGAGATTTCATGCTTAGTGCTGAAACATCCTGGCCCATAATCCAGGAAGGCGTGTGAGGGCAAATCTCTTAACATGAGCAAAACTAATACAGGATAAGGTCAACAGCAGTGTCCTAACTCTGATTCAACCACATAATTTTACATAAGCACACTTTCCCAATATTTATCATGAAATATTGTGATAGCAAACTGCCCTTCAAATTGTAAAATACCGTATACGTTTTGTGGTGAATTAGGTACTTGCCCCCACATGCATAAACAAAAATCATGCTTTTTTACTTGCTGAGGCTACAGATGAAGTTACGTTAGCATTTGTTTTGTCTGCAAAGTCAGCTGCGGAGAAAAAACACTCACCTGATAGGCAAAGGCTTGTGGTGAATTGTCAATAATAATAGTTTTTGAGAGATCTCTACCAAGGATATTTAAATCCTTTATGTAGTTTCCTTGTACACAAACACAATGCTCACGGAAAAGTCGATGCCTGTATTTGGTTAAAAGAAAACATTCAGATTACATGGAGAAAAATGTATATGAAGAAAATGCTGCTTTTTACAAGATTTCCTCTCTTTCACGGGATTTAATGTTAAGAATTGTCTTTTTATTAAATGGTAGTTCTTTGGTGTGTGTGGTGTTATATCTATTTGAAAAATAGATGTTAAAAACACAGCTAAAGGTTGCTGTTTTTTGGCTGAAAAACAGGTTTTTAATTCTCTGCGGTACAATATATTTACCATATATATAATCATGCAAAACCAAACAAGGACTTGTGTTCTTAGTGATTAATTTGACCAGGAGGTGGAGCACCTGTGCTGTTAACTATGGAAGAAAATCAGGCAATGATGAAGTGTTTTTACAATGATCCCATAACATTTGGAGAGAACCCAAAGACAGCCAAGCCTCAACTGCCATCTTTCACGCACAAGTCCACCAGGAGAATTCAGTTGTTGTTCTTATGTTGTTGTAGTTTTCATGTTTGAGCCTAATTTATTTGTATTGATTTAATTTTTAATATAATCTGCCAAAAGAACTTTTGTTATTGTGTGGGATATAAATATTATGAATAAATAAAATAGGATGGCTCATCTTCAGGGTTCCAAACATCCAGCTGTGTCTTCCTTCAGAATAGTACACGCTATCAGACCAACAGACCCCTCCCCCCAAGTTTCTGTTTTTCTTTCCCAATATTCCAACATTCTGTGGCTCGTGGACACTACTGAGCATGCCCAGCAAACATTTGGGAGTTTTTCTTTTTTGCTTTTAAAAAGGTTTTGTACTTCTGCATACCTCGGGGTTCACCCAAGCGTGCCGATACCTCCCTCCTGTTCCTCAGTAGCCCAATTCTGTCTGCACTCAGCCACATGAGTTCACTATTAGAAGGAACAAGTGGGACCTGCAACAAAATGTTGCATCATTAACACGAGTGCTTCTCTTCAGACTTCCAGTCAGTCACATATTTTTCCAGGATACTAGGTGCTGCTAGGGACTCAAGCAAGTCAGTCCACCCCACCCCCCATTCCAGGCCAACTGAGAATCCTATTTTTCATTTACCAGTACACTCCCTCATATGTGTAGGAAGCGCTACCTCATTGGCAGGTAGCCCCATTTTTCTCCCATGTGGACCCTTCAGGTGATGCTGGACTCCAACTCCCAGCACCCCCAGCAGCTAATCAATGGTCAGGGATGATGATGGTCAGGGATGGTGGGAGCTGTAACCAACCACATCCAGAGGGCCCCCACAGATTTCCCACCCCTGCACTAGACCATCTGAGTTGCTACCACATATATGAATAAAATGGATAATCAAATCCTCCAATAGCAAACTCAAGGGGATTGAGTGATGACAGGGAATTGGAGCCAAAATGGAGTCACTGAGAATCAAGAGGAATATTTTAAAATGCTTAGTGATCCCTAAAGTATGCAGAAATACAACACTTTAAAATAGCCTGTTGTCAGCGTTTTATCTGTGTTTCCATGTGTATTCAGCTATGATAACTAAAATGCACTCAGGTTCTACAACATAATAGTGTATGCTGCAATTCTGATTAAAAAAGAAATAACAGCCACCACTTGGTCATCAAGCTTACCTGACCAGTTGCTTTTTGGGGTCTAGTATGTTCAGCAATTTGTCTGCATATACCTTCTTTGAAGCAGTAAAAAGAATGATCTGAAAATGAAGGGAGGACATTGTTATTATCTGTTCTACTGCTGAAGGCTAAGATAATCATACAAGATACAAATTAACTCCCTTTACCTCATAGATTTGGGACATACGCTCCAAAAATTCTCTGAAGAATGGTCTTAATCTCACATAAACCTAGAACAAAAAGAAAAAGCAATTTTAAAATACACAGAATACAATAGGGACATTTTGCTTCAAATGGCAGGGGTTTCTGAAACTATAGTTGGTGGACAGCTGTGAAAATTTACTGTAAAATACTTATTATATTCAGTAATTGAAGAAGAAATAGTAATGCTAGAGAGGGTGTAAAATTCTTATTAATGTTTGCTTGTATAACTGGAAAAGAAAACAAAACAAGAAACAACCCAGTTATTGTTTGGTTCGTATGTTAGTTTGTCCATATGTTTTATGATAAATGAATAAAAATTACCATTACTACAACTGACTCAAAAACTTGTAGCATCGTCTATTGCACCTGATACAATGGCAACTGTACCAGGCAGTATCTTATTTTTATTTTTATTTATAAGAATATTTATAAACCACCAACACATAAAAAGTATCAAAACAGTGTACAGTAAAATCATCATAAAAGTTTTAAAATCTTTAAATTATAGAATCATAAAATACAGGACACTTTGTCTCACCAAAACTGTATCAAATTAATTTTCTACAAACAAATACGTTTTCCGCAGGCAACAAAATACCAGGATTGTAGGTGCCTGGAAAAGTGTTCCAAATTACTGAAAGCCTTGGTATGCTATTTCAGCAAGTTCCCCTATACTGAAAGCCTTGGTATGTGGAGAAACTAATAAAAGTATGGGACAACTGGGACAACCAGGAAAGCTTCTCCAGATAAGCACAGTACATAAGGAATAAGGCAGTTCCTTCAGGTAACCTGGTCCCAGGTCATTTAGGTTTATACACCTTTATAATACATTGAGCTTAGTTCAATAATGTACTGGCAGCCAGTGCAGAGCTTTCTTCATCCGTGTAATATACAGTGTTCCAGCAACAATTGGGGTGCAGCATTCTGCACTAGCTACAATTTCTGAACCAACTTCTAGAGTAGCCCCAAACAGAGTGTGTAGTCCAGTCTAGAAGATGACCAAGGGCAGTACTACTGTGGCCAAACTATCCCTCCTGACATAAGTGTGCACAGGATGGAAGCCTTAGCTGTACTCTGTAGCTTCCACAAGAATGTTCCTCAGCAAAGATCCCCATTTAAAGCAGGGATGTGCCACCATTTAGCTCACAAAGGACACATGTGGGTGGTTAGTGGCTGCATGCCTGTGGGCAAGGCTGGTGTTGGCTGGGACTGGAGAAAAGGAGAGCTGAATGAAGTGCACCCCAGTGCCCAACGGTGCCTTCATCATGTATCTTAGGCGCCAGGCAAACACATCCTGCTTCTCCCAGGCCTTTGGCTAATTAAACAATCTATGGCCTTTAAAACTGCATGGGGTGGGAGGTATTGCTTTAGTTTGTTACTATGTTATGTATTTTTGTGCTTTTATATTGTAAATCACCCTGTGGTTCTTAGATGAAGCCAAAAAGCGAGCCATTGCAGCAAATTGGGCTCAAGAAATGGAAGAGATACAGCAGCAGATGCTTTGCTGTTCATCTGCTTTGGTGCCTGGGGCAAGTTATGGTGGGAAGGGCCACCTGTTTTGTATGCAGAAGGTCCCAGGTTCAATCCCCAACATCTCCAGGTACAGCTGGGAGAGAAAATACTGAGTTCAGCAGACGAACTGTCTAGGTCTGTCAGCTTCCTATGTTCTGGTGTTCCCAGGTTATCCCCAGGCACCTTCCTCCCTATGTAAACAGCAAGCCCCAGTCTGGCAAACAGCTCTTTAGCAAGGTATGGGAAGAGTGACTGTGATGTGGAGGAAGGGATAACTCTCCCTGAATACCTTCCAGTCCATCCAAATTGTGCTCCCTCAGGTGGGTGGGGGATGAAATTCAGCAGTGAGGGTGGATTGAGTGCCTGTGGTGAGGCACACTGAAGGGCATGAGAAGGTTGCTCTCTAGTGCAGTGTTTCCCAACCGGTGTTCCGCGGCACACTAGTGTGCCGCCGGACGTTGCCTAGTGTGCCGTGGGAGGGAGGCGGGCGAGTCGGGCTAATCCTCCGACGAGCTCCACCTCCAGACCCATTGCTCAAATCCTTTAACCCAGGAGGGCGGGGAGGGGGGGGAGAAAGAGAAAAAAGAAAGGGTGGAAAAAAAGAAGGGGAAGAGAAAATATTTTTTTTTAAAAAGGAAAGAGAGGAAAAAAAGCGAGGGATGGAGGAAGGGGAATAAACAGAAGGGGAGGACAATGAAGAGGGGCGGGGCTTGGCAGGCAGCAGATAACTGGGGAGGGGGGCGCGGCTGGCGGCGGCTCAAGGCAGGAAGGGAGGAGCTGCCTCGCGGAGAGTCTTGGGCTGCAGAGATTTCCCGTTCAGGAGCGCGGGAGGCCACGCCGTGGATGGGAATCTCCTCCTCCTCTTCCTCCTCCTCCTCCAGGAGAGAGGGTGGTCCGCCCCACCGAGTCTGGCCTGCTCAAGCGTGGGAGCCTATAGTTAGAGCTCAGCTCCTTTTCTTGCCTTCCCCGCCCCCCCACGGAGCACATTTTCCTCGCCCCCCCAACCCCCGCATGTAGAATAGAAGCCCTCCAGCCTCCACGGTGCACAAACTCTCCCCTCTGCAACGAAGCGCTTTGTTGCATATCTTTGGTGAGGTTTTTAGGCAGTCTTGGTGCACCTTAAATCAGCGCTAATTGCGCCTGGACGCAGTATTTACTTCCGAGTAGGCCCCCTTCTCCCCCCCCCCGGTAGCACCTGACGTTGCTATTCGTATCATCAGGTTTGTTTGTTGATAATTTAATTGTTTTAAAAGCATCATGCTAAAGAGCTCTCTCCCACCCCCAGACCCTTGGGCAAAACAGAAACACACACATACACAAACACAGAGATTGAGCCCTGCAGGTTTTATGAAATGAATGGATTCTGAATGCCTGTTTCAGTGGCTTGTCCGCCTTAGGCTGCTGGGCCAGACACCTGTTACACGGTGCAGTCCGTAAGCTGTGAGCGCTGCTACCTGCCGCCGAGACCACGTAACGACAGTCTTGAAAGACCTACATTGGCTCCCAGTACCTTTCCGATCACAATTCAAAGTGTTGGTGCTGACCTTTAAAGCCCTAAGCGGTTTCGGTCCAGTATACCTGAAGTAGCGTCTCCGCCACCATCGTTCAGCCCAGACACTGAGATCCAGTGCCAAGGGCCTTCTGGCAATTCCCTCACTGTGAAAAGTGAGGTTACAGGGAACCAGGCAGAGGGCCTTCTCGGTAGTGGCGCCCGCCCTGTGGAATGCCCTCCCATCAGACATCAAAGAGATAACCATTACCTTCTATGCTGTTACTATTTTTTTTTTTTTTACATAAGTAAAAAGTGACCTTTCCCCATCTGGCATGGTGGTGTGCCTCGAGATTTTTTTCATGAAACAAGTGTGCCTTTGCCCAAAAAAGGTTGGGAAACACTGCTCTAGTGAACTAAAGAGAAGTCTTATTCATTGATTAACAATCCCTTCATCAGAACCTCTGCAAGTGCCAGTACAAGTTATTAGTACCCAAGTGTGTACTGACTCATAGAATCACAGAGTTGGAAGGGACCCCCAAGTGCCGTCTAGTCCAACTAGAATTGCAGGAATTGGTTTCCATCCAGAAGAATAAACAATATGTGGCTGCAAAGTGGACATAGAAGTTCTTGGGTTCACATTATTTCCAGTTGGTGTCAATAATTTAAGATAAGCATTTAAGATAAGCTACCAATATGCCTCCGTCTAAGGGAAAAGCACAAATGCTAAAGGAGTGAGCAAGGCCTTTAAAAAAACCTCAACTCTAGACAGTTGCTATATTTTAGGATGCTTAATTCTATAGTATCTTTCAGTGCCCAACTTGCTTTACAACTCTCATCATCATCAACCTTTTATTCGACCGTCAGTCAGAAAAAAGTACATTTGTCAATACACAGTTAAAACATCCAGGAAGATTTTAAAACTTAGCCAACACTAAAATGGGCTAAACAGATAGCCCCATACAACTCTCAATTTGCCTTCAAAACCACACTGAGAAACAAATCAAGCAGATCACCACTTCCAAAGGACCACAAGACAGAGAATTTAAACCCCATACTGCCATCTTGAATCAGTACTGTCACCACAGGCCTTTGCAATCAACAGAAGATGATCATTAAAAAGGGTGGGGAGAGCAAAAGAGTGAACTTGCATGGTCTCAGTCATTCTTTGCACAGTTAAGTAACTACTTGAACCTTCCTTCCTATGATTATTATTAATTAAATTTTTAGTCACCAACTCCAAAGCCTCCTGATGACTTACAATAAAATAGTTTAAAACATCAAATAAGTAAATACAACCTGTAAGATAAATACAGCATAACCAAGTTTTTAACAAAGCAACAAACTAATAACAAAATCCACTCCTCAAGTATGGACACAACCCCCATTAAAATTTAAAAAATCGAGCTACCCTGGCACATAGCATTAAGGGCACCAACTGAGAAGATGATAGTAAACTGCCTGGGAGGAAAGACAGGTATTTTCCTGCTGCGACAAAGACTGGTGTCAGGGGAGCATCTCTGGAGAAAGCACCCCAGAAATGGGGGGAAACTACAAAAAAGTCTCTCTTGTTGCCATTCTGATTTTCAGCAAGATCTTGGAGGAAGTCTTTTGGATGACCAAAGGACCCAGATAAGCTCAAGCTTAGCTGCAGTAATGGACCACATCACTACAAGACTCGATCATCATTGTGACCATTTGCACCAAATTAGTTCTAAATAAATTATGTAGCAAATAAAGAGGACTCTGGTCTACAAAAGGCTTTTGACAATTTTGCCTTTTGGAGTTTGACTGAATAATGGTTTTTCACAGACTAACAATAATATTATGAAGCTGACACTTCAAACTTCCTTGCCATTTTCACTGGGCCCATATCAAAATAGAATAGGGGCAAACTCTGTTTATCTATAGCCATAGATGGCCATGACTGCAATTTTGCAATTTCAAGCATACTTGGAAACTGGTTTCCCCTCAAAGCAATGAAACGTACTTCCAGATGTGAGCATTTGGCTTGAGAGGCAAAATACTTAAGGGTTAGGACCAGATCTGGAACATTTACAGCTGCAGTTCTTAACCTGCTTACTCTGGAGGAGCTTTTTATGAGACTGGAAGTGGAATAAGTGGATAGAGGATTACAAAGGTTGAGGAACAGAGGTCACTAAACTCCTACCTAAATGTCCAAGTTTGCAAAAATCAAGTTTTATGGTGCTAGCCCTGTGCTAGGCAGAAAAGGACTGCCAAGAAACCAATCACTCAATCAATCATTTTATTTGTATGCCACCTATCCAAATTTAAAACTATGCTCAGGGCAGCTTATAACATATAAAAAAATTGCTTAACTACTAATGTAACAAAAGTAGTTATAAACACTAAACAAAATATCAAAACTATTGAATACTTTCCACATAATTTTTAGGATTTTTATTTTGGATTTTACAGTTTAACAGCAACAGCAACAACAACCCCACCCCAAACAACACCCCCTAAACAATAGCCCAGCCCAAGAACCAAGGAGGGGTTTGTAAAATTGGAACTCTACATTTATTCCACCCAAGACTCAAATGTGTTGTTGCTCACTTCAGCAATATTTATATAAAGAAACCTCATAAAGTAGTGTTTACTTCTCAGCTGTTCTCAGCAAGATGTAATATTGGCAAGCCACAGAAGAGAAGATGATGCTATCAGCCAATTTTCAGCTCTTGCTTTTATTATCCAAAATATTCAAAGGTAACTTCCTAACTTATCTAATTAAAGAGGAAGCTGAACATTGATATCACTAAACCTGATTTCTTCTGGGGAAAGGAAATACCTCATTTTAAGCCTCAGAATTTTGGAGGGTTTTACAGAACAAAAAGACAAAATGGAAGTTTTAAAATTAGGGTAAAATACCTGGACAAGAGTCCATTTAAGGTGCCTGATGTCATTCTCCAAAGATACTACAGAGGAGTCCAATATCATGCAAATTACACGAAGGGAAGCTACTCCTAGGTACATCACACAATAGGGACCTGAGAACAACAGCCGGGGTCAGTGCAGCATCTTTGGCAGTTGCTGGAACACACCTCCAACTCTTCCTCTTTCCTCTGTTCTTGGCTGACCGAATTGTTGTACACACGGTAGATGGAAGCTAAGAATATGTTGTGAAGCACAACCAACAGCTAGCAATCTGGTAGTCTCCATCAACAAAAGCAACTCCTGCCACAAAAGCAGCACCTAACTATGAAGGAAGAGATGGATCTGCACAAGTTATTCCCAGATCTGTATTTTTAATCCCTTCTGAGCAGAATAGCATGGGTCGATTTTACTCAGGCAAGGCAGAAAAGCAAGTCTGCACTAAGCTCTTCTGTAGTAAAATTATTTAAGCTTCCAGAACTCCTGCCTCCACCTGCTGGCAGGGAGAAAAGCTGCCACGTAGGAAGACAGCGAAGAGGGAGCCTTCTGGCTTCCTCATGCTTGAGCTCTTTACAAATAAATGAAAAGGAAGTGTAAAAGTATGCAAGTGTAGAAGGAAGAAGCAGTGTGTCACAATACATCTAATATCTGAGGACTTGCTTGACAAAATTTCAAAGAATGTAATCAATATTGCTTAATTGCCAATGTTCCAGGAGGGCAAGAAGACACCATGTGCATGACAAGTGTTTGCCCATTTAATTTATATAAGCAGTTTTATACTTCACCGGAACGTGGTTTTGATTACCTGGTAAATGACATCTTGGAAAAGGACTGGAAATGTGAGTGCAGCATCTTCCAGTTCATTTAGACTACAGTGGACTAGTGTTTCATCCTATAAAGAATTAAGAAAATGAGATGACTTAGAAGGCAGGTAGAAATAAAGTATGCTCGGAAATGAAGCCCTCCCACCTGCAATTTGCACAGCATCTCTCTCTCTCTCTCTCTCTCTCTCTCTCTCTCTCTCTCTCTCTCTCACACACACACACACACACACACACACACACACCCTTTCTATCATAACTAATGCCAATATGTATTCCTTACCAAGTCTAGAACTAAAGAAAATTCTGGTGTGCTTCTCGTTTTCAATGGAAGAGCAGGCTTCCGATTAAGTTGTTCTTCTGTTAGTGGTGGAACATGTTTGATGAAGTAGTACCTAGAAGAAAGGCAAACCAATATACGGTTTGGTAATTTATTACATCTGCTGCTTTACAACTCTTGGGACAAATTTGGAAAGCTGCCCTGGCAGGCTAATGTAATGAACCACCAGGGAGGTAAGAAGACATCTTCAGCAATCCCAGTCCCCACTGGATGCAGGATAGAAATAGACACACAACTAATCTGGGAAGCCCTGGAAAACTTTCCTGTATGGGATGTGGCGTGCGTGTGCAATTGTAATGTTTTGGGATCAAATGAAGATGTTTTAAGATAAAACCTTTTTATTCACTCATCTAAGGACTGTTGATTTTTCTTTTACCTGCAGGTCTTTTTTATGTATAAACGTTTTATGTACATACAGGCAGATCCCCATTTACATGGGGGTACCTTCTAAGGCATCGCACGCACCAGCGGGATGATATATGCCCACCACATTCTGCCCCACCCCTTGCAGTGCGCCTGTCAGCAGTCATGCACGTGCTGATCATGCGCAAATGGGGAAGTACCTGTATGTGAGTGGGAGCTGTAAATGATGCAGCAGCGTGGCATGCTCCTGCTCAGGGTTCTAGACAGCTGACTTGGCTCTCTTCCAAAATATTCTATTCTATTCCACCACGCCCCCCCCTCAGTTTATTCCCCCCCCCAGACATCAAGAATTCTGTAACCAGTAAGCATGCAGTCCTCACTGGGTTGTTTTTTTCAAATGCCTCCATACATTTTCCTCTTTTTTTTTTCATTTCTGCAAACCATATGGTTCCCTTGAGCACATCAATATCTCTTCCTTGTTTCTCAGCAGCCAAGTTTTGGCCATACTCTTGTCAGTGCTCACTAGCTGAGTTTGCTGTTAGAGAACGTAATGTATATTTTATTCTTCTTAAACCTTGTAAACTCCACTGAAATCAATTTTGATGAAGAGCAGTATAAAGAGGGTTCAAATAGATAATTGTTGATTTTACTGCTATGGCTCTACAACTGAGGCTGGTAGAACTGCTGCAGTATTGTGCTCAAAATAAATGTTAAGTACTGCAGTCTTCAACACTGACTCACAAGGAGGGCAAAGTATTTTATTTCTCAAAATGTCATATCTAGAATTACAAAGTGAAATCAAACATGAACACATACGGATCAAAAACTTCCCAGTCTTCCTCATAGGCACCTTCTGCATGAGCTGATGAGTAACCACTGTCCGGAGATACTGGTGCTAATAAACACAAAAGCTCCTCATTAGTTCATCTGAAGAGGGGAGGAAAGCTCCAGTTAGCAGCTAAGTGGAATATTCAATAATCAAAATATTTCTAGTCTCCATTTTTGCCTTAAATTACATTGAAACACATTTTAAGGATTGATTTTTTTTTTAGTCTGTTCTATTTAATCTGTGTGGGACACGGGTGGCGCTGTAGGTAAAACCTCAGTGCCTAGGACTTGCTGATTGTATGGTCGGCGGTTCGAATCCCCGCAGCGGGGTGAGCTCCCGTCGTTCAGTCCCAGCTCCTGCCCACCTAGCAGTTCGAAAGCACCCTTAAGTGCAAGTAGATAAATAGGTACCGCTTTATAGCGGGAAGGTAAACGGCGTTTCCGTGTGCTGCGCTGGTGCTGGCTCGCCAGCTGCAGCTTCATCACACTGGCCACGTGACCCGGAAGTGTCTTCGGACGGCACCGGCTCACGGCCTCTTGAGCGAGATGAGCACGCAACCCTAGAGTCGGTTACGACTGGCCCGTACGGGCAGGGGTACCTTTACCTTTATTTAATCTGTGTAAGCTTCCATCAGTCCTGGTGTGGGGGAGAGGTAGGATATATGTAAAAATATAATACTACTAAAATAATTAGTGGGAACCTCCCCAGAATGGTCCTACATATAACTGTTTCACCTCTAATAACAGCTTTTATCAATCTATTAAAGTCTTAAATGCTAAGTTTCAAGTGTCAGCTATAATTTCATTTGAATGTTACAACAGAGCATAGTTAATGACACACTGAAACTAGAATGTACAAACGTAAGACAGAAAAAACCACCATCCATTTCTTCGGCTACATTCTCATCCACCAAAGAGTTATTCCCTTTGGTTTTCTTTTCTTTCTTTGGCACTAAGACCCTCAATGCAATTACAGTGGTACCTCGAGTTACAAACATCTCAGGTTACAAACACTTCAGGTTACAAACTCTGCTAACCTGGAAGCGTCACTTTGAGTTGAGAACTTTGCCCCAGGACGAGAACGGAAATCGTGTGCCGGAGGCACAGCAGCAGCAGCAAGAGGCCCCATTAGCAAAAGCACGCCTCTAGTTAAGAACAGTTTCAGGTTAAGAACGGACCTCCAGAACAAATTAAGTTTGTAACTAGAGGTACCACTGTATTTAGTTCTAAGTTGTGAAACTCCCTCCTCACAGAGGTGCACCTGGCATTATATATCTTTCAGTGAAGGCAGAAGATACACCTCTTTCCCCTGGCTTCTGACATTTGAGATGTACATTTTTAAGACCCCCATTATTTCTGTGATTGTAAAGTGTTTTCAACTGTTTTCAACATGGTGTTTTTATTGTTGTAACCCACCCTGGGACCTTAGTGTGAAGGGTGGATAAATAAGAATGATAGTAATAACAACAACAACAATTGTTAATTCATGCTCAGGTAAACTAGATTTGTACCATTCCCATTCAAAATTGCAGAGCACTGTTCAACAGAATAAGTCCAGATAAAAGCTTCTCTGCTCCTGTAGTCCATGGCTATAGAAACGCTTGGAGTATATCTCAAGGAACGGAAGTTTAGGACATCATTCTCTCTCAACAAATCATGGAAAGGTAGCCATGCAGACCGCACAACCATGCTGGTCATGGAGAATCCTGTGTCCCTGAGCCATTCGGTTCAGAAGAGTGAGGGCGTACCCCCCCAACCCCCCAAAATTAGTCATGTACATAAGATTTAAAAACAACCACACCAAAATATGCCTGGTTCTTACCAGTGAGAGGAGGCAAATCACGATCAGTTACATCCTCTACTTCCTCCAAGCCATTGTTGATCGTTGATCTGACTTGCACTGCTTGGCTAGTATATGATGCTCCATTGGCTGAAGTTGCAGTGCTAGTGATAATCTCATCCACCTGCTCCATATCAAGCTGCTTCACTATTTCTTCAGCTTCAACAGCTTGCCCCGGAGAGTCTGAGCCGGCTGTCCCTGAAATGATGTTTTTGGTTCACAAATTGCTATTGCACTTAGGTAAGAATTAACATTCTTATTTCATTTTTAGCTTCAGAATCTTTAAATATTTTTTTAAAAAAGAGTAATCAAAACATACCTATCTTTCGCCCAGCATTGAGACAGGAGATTACTTTTTCTAAATTGCTATTTTATTTTTAAGTGTATATAACACATTAAACATGGTTTTGCATAATACTTGCCATTTTTATTTGCTGGTGAGAAAAAATTGAAGACGGGAGAAAATATGGTCCCCAGTAAAGTAGTCCGTGGAGGGCTGCCGGTTGCGGGATTATCTTCCAATTTTCCATTTTGCCTAACATGCTGGTTTGTCATTTCATAATTTCCAGCTTCTAGAATGCAGACACAAAACATTTGACTTGACAGTATTGTACAATGCTCACATTGTTCCTGATGTCATTTTTACTACATAGGTTGGAATGAGCAAGTCACACAGTATCTTCAAGTAAATTTCCAGGGCCAGAACAAGACATTTTGCTGCCTGAGGCAGACTTCTCCTTGCAGCCATACTGGAGGCGAAAGGGGAGCTGGCATTACATCCAAACACAGTCAATACGTATGAGTAGCAATAGCAATATTTTTGTTTCTTATCAGGATTTCAGTAGGCAATATTTTCAATCCATACAAACACATGCTTAGTTCAACAAATACTTATTTCAGGAGTTTAATCCTCTTAAAACTGGAACAAGAGGTTTCTGCGTTTGTTTTACAGTAAAAAACGCACACAAAAACCCCTGCAATTAAACACCAGAACAGCCACTCAATATCTAGGAAACCCATAAAGAGCTGATGAGATTAAGGCAGATCCTGTGGCCTGCAGTCTTCAAGGCAGTAAAGCAGGCAGCATCACAATTGGTCACCTCTGACTACCAAATCCCTATTAAAGACACAGTTATTTGCTCACAACATGTATCCAATAATATACAGTGGCTGCTTTCACCATAATTTATCTGGAATATCAGATAGATACTAAAGTCAGACACACACACACCCGCAGGCTCTGTCCACTCAGTTGTCAGGGCCTTCTTAAATATGGAAGGGAAAGGGAACTGAAGGGTCAGTTTCCCTCCTACCCAAGGTAAGAACAGCTCAATTTGCATTGAGTGGAGCAGCCAACTCACCCAACTATCCTCTCCTTCCTAAGGGAAAATAATACTGTTTTCTTTCTTTTCTTAAGTGATCCATTTGTGTAAAACAAAAATGCAGTTCAACATGTTAAGCATTAACTGTCCCCAATGCAAACAATATAGCCCATGTCATTGAAGGAGGAAAAGGAGCGGGTGATTCTGCTATCTATGCAGCTACAAGCTATGCAAGAGTGCTCTGCCCCATTGCCAAACATCATTAACCACTACAGTGTAGGTGGGGTGGGGTCAGCCAATGTGTTGCCCTCCATATGTTGTTGGACTTCAACTCCTATCAGTTCTAGTCAACATGGCCAATGCTCAAGGACAATGGAGCTACAGCCCAAGATTTGGAGGGCACCATGTTGGCTACTCTTGTCAAGAGGTTTGAGTGGACACGCATCACATTTCAAACCCTAGTTCAGTAAGGCAAAACACTCTTTTAGCCTTTGTTTATAACAAAATAAATAATTCTGGATTCTAAGATAAGTTTAATTAAGGAAGTTCATGGAGATATGGTTTTGTGTTCCCTTCTACCTTCAGCAGATCCACGCCCCCAATGCCCCCCAAAATCTTCTCTGGACAATGTTTGATGTTGTGCAGGGGGCTGCTGTGGGAGGGAGAAATCCTCCCGTACCATGCATGGATCCTAAGATGGTAACTAAATGAAAATCACAGCCCATCCCTTCCTTCCTTCAGGAGTCCTCCCTGCCCTTCTAATATTGTTCAGGATGGCCAACCAATACTCTGCAGAGCCTACTGTGGGTGAGGGTCACAAGTAGCTCGGGGTGGGGGCTAAGGGAGGAAAGGAGGGGACTGCAAACTTTTCTTCTGTGAATTTTCTTAAACTAACTTCTCTAAGGACCCAACCATTTTGACTTATGTCAGATTGGGCTACTGTAAACATCAAGAAAAAAACCTGCAATGTATTTTACACAATAAAGGCACTAGGTTTACTTCTAAACCACCCAAATAAGTTGGTTTTAAATATTTATATGCTGCCCAATAACCAATGTGCACTCCTGGCACTGCAGGCTCAAATTTTCTCTTCCATGAAACCAGGACACAAAATCTTAATTACTTCAATGGTGTAGAAAGACCAAAGGCTTCATAGGAGTCACTTGAGTAGAATATTTACAAACCTCCATTCACTTGACTTTTCCGCCTAACTCGAGAAATCTGTTTGTTAGGTTTTTCTCCTGTTCGAGGAGTGGATGTAATCAAGTTGTCATCTATATCACGTTCAGTTCTACTCCTCTTTGCAGGATGTTCTCTTTCATCCTTAAAGAATAAAGCATAAACAATTTATTATCTGATATGTAGGTTACTAACAAACTTTCTATGCCCTTTTAAAAACTGATCCTCACTTTTATGCTCATGGTGGTGGCACTGTTAGCATCTACCACGTTTTCGTTTCCACATCTCTCATTTCATAAGGTTCAGCTCTGACTGTTTTGGCAGAAAATATGTCATAAAAGGCTGAAATAAAGGGGCCCTTCAGTTGAAAGCAAGTGAAAGCTGCACAGGTCCCATCCCCGCCTGGGACAAAAGTGTGGTTGGGTGTGTTGGTTTCTTGTGTGTGCTCAAAGACTCAAGTTGGAACCTTCAAAGTCCAAGCTTTTGGTTTGTTTGTTTTTTAAAAAATATTCCTCGTACTTATACAGCTCTATAGAAAAATACAATTATAGAAATTGTTACACTATAGGAGGGAAGGGAGAAACAGAAGGCTCAAACTTCTTTCTTTTCAACACTTGTATTCTAAGATTATAATAGCTGTATGAGGACTGGCTGCTTTTTTACCTATATTTGAGGTACTACAAACTGAAATTCTCTAACAACCTAAAATGTTGCCTTTAAAAGTCTCCCAAAATCACTGCTTGGAGCTTTGTGTAAAGTTATTACTGGGAAACACATGGCTCTACTAAAGTATGAGCTTTTTACAAAATGTCCTGCATTCTGGTGTGAAACAAGAATAGGGTAGATGAGGAACTTTCTCTCTTGAGATAATCCCAATTAAAGTCTGCTCCATTGTCACCAACCTGAATGATGGAAATTTCCCAGGAAGTTTCCATTCTTATCACTGAGAAGACATGCTGAATCACTTTTCCAGCACCCTGGGAGGAATTCATCTGCACTCTTCTTATTGTTCCATCAACAAAATGACCTCTTCTCTTCTCCCACTGTGTGCTGTTCTGGGAGTTCCCTCCAGAGAAGATTGGGGGAGGGGGCAGGCAGGAGAGGAGGGAAGCCCCTTCCTGCTAGTGTTTGCATTGGGCGTTGCCTGCCCTTGCATTACATCATTCCAACACCAGCTACATTGGTGTTTATTTCCAGGTTCAATTTAATGTGCTAAAACATTTGGAGCCATGTTAGATCTGCCAACTCTCATAATAACCTACTTGAGATTAGCTTTATGAAATAGTAAGGACAGAGCCTTTTCAGTAGTGGCCCCATGTTTTTGTAATTCCCTTCATAGGGAACTTTACAAAGTCTGCTTTCTTGCTATCTTTAGGATTGCTTCCCCACCTGCTTAGCTCAGTAGCCTTGCAGCTTCAGGTCACTCACTGCTTCTTATTTTGCATGGGAAGCTTGCCCCCCCCCCCACGCAAAGTGAACTAGAATTCTAAGGCCATGCTAGCTTTGCTGTGCCAATCCCCTTGAGAAACCTCTCTCTATCCCTTCATAAAGTGGCAGTCTAGCTATCTCTAATATGAGCACTAGATGCCCCAGCCAACACAACTGGTAGGGCCACTCCACACACAGGCCTTAGTGGACGTGTTAAGATTTACCATATTTTTCGCTCTATAACACGCACCCAACCATAACACGCACATAGTTTTTAGAGGAGGAAAACAAGAGAGAAAAAAATTCTAAACGAAACAGTGGATGTATGATCTTTGTGGTTCATGCTGTGTCCACAGACATGTGATCTGACGGTGAGTTTGGGGTAGCCCAATGCAAAAATCCTGAGGATCCATGTGGATCCATGCTTTGTAACCACGTTTTTGCACCACTGCGGCCCCAGGCAACAGTGGGTGCGTGATTTTTTTGGTGCAAGCTGTAGCCATGGATATGCTATGTGATCTGGTGGTGAATTTGGGGTGACCCAGTGCAAAAATCCTGAGGATCCATGTGGATCCGTGCTTTGTAACCATGTTTTAAGTGGTGAGGGAAGGAAAAGCACTCAAGGGACAAGGGACACGCGTGGGGTGGGTGGAGAAGGATGCTGTTAATAATGCAGAAGAGGGGTATAAGAGGAGAAGGCTCCTCTCCTCTCCCGCTTTGCTCCTTTAAAGGCTCTGCTTCTCTCCCTCCTCCCCGGCTTGCTGAAAAAAACAGCTCTGGACTCATGTAAGCGGCTCCTCTCCTCTCCCGCTTTGCTCCTTTAAAGCAAGCAGGCTCTCTGTCCCTCTCTCCTCCCCACTCAGCAGCTCTTCTCCCACTTTGCTGTTTCAAAGCAAGCCACGGAGGAGGGAAGAAGGGGAACCATGGATCCTCTGCTCACGACTGCAGCAGATCTCCCCGCCATCCATAGGCATTCGCTCCATAACACGCACAGACATTTCCCCTTACTTTCTAGGAGGAAAAAAGTGAGTGTTATGGTGCAAAAAATATGGTATTCTGTAAGGTCCAGTTTTTATTCTGACATTATGTTTACAATTTTGATTCAAAGGGACCAACATTTATACAGGTATAAAGGAGAATTCCTGGATGCCAAGATCCAAGTTTAGGGCAAGTACTCTTTGGTGAGAGAACCCTAACAGAGATTTGAAATCACAAAACATGCAGCAAAGTCAAGTGTGGAAATACAGGCTGTAGAACCTTAAAATGTGCCAGTTAAAGTGAGTATCAAAATGTCCCCTTAAAAGGCTTCTTTCCAAAGTTTCCCACTGGCATACAAAAACACCACACATTTGGTAAGTTAAAAACGACTTACTTATAAACGCTCCAAATGTCAGATTCATGTGCTTTTCCATACAGCATTCAGAAAAAGTCACAGGAAGTAAAACTTAGCTTAGTTACAGAGTGGTGAAAGTTCCTTGGTTACTGATACAGTGGTGCCTCGCAAGACGAAATTAATTCGTTCCGCAAGTTTTTCTTCTTGCGAGTTTTTCGTCTTGCGATGCACGGTTTCCCATAGGAATGCATTGAAAATCAATTAATGCGTTCCTATGGAAACCGACTTCAGACCAGGTCCGGGGACAATCTGTCCCCCGACCTCTTCTGAAGGCTGGGGGGGGGCGAAAGTCTTTGCTCCCCCCCCCACGGCAGCATTTTAAAATCGCCCCGGACAGCGGAGGACTTCTCCGCTGTCCGGGGCGATTTAAAAGCCCTCCCGGGAAGGCAGCCAGGGGGGACAAAGATTTTCGCCCCCCGCCAGCCTTCCCCTCTTTTGAAGCAAGGGGCGGCAACGGGGAGAAGATCGCTTCTCCCCTTTGCCGCCCTTGCTTCAAAAGGGGTCCGGGGGGAGAGAGAGGAAGGCGCGCGCCTTTCCCTCTGTCCCCTCTTTTGAAGCAAGGGGCGGCAACGGGGAGAAGATCGCTTCTCCCCTTTGCCGCCCCTTGCTTCAAAAGGGGTCGGGGGGGGGAGAGAGGAAGGCGCGCGCCTTTCCCTCTGTCCCCTCTTTTGAAGCAAGGGGCGGCAACGGGGAGAAGATCGCTTCTCCCCTTTGCCGCCCCTTGCTTCAAAAGGGGTCCGGGGGGAGAGAGAGGAAGGCGCGCGCCTTTCCCTCTGTCCCCTCTTTTGAAGCAAGGGGCGGCAACGGGGAGAAGATCGCTTCTCCCCTTTGCCGCCCCTTGCTTCAAAAGGGGTCGGGGGGGGGAGAGAGGAAGGCGCGCGCCTTTCCCTCTGTCCCCTCTTTTGAAGCAAGGGGCGGCAACGGGGAGAAGATCGCTTCTCCCCTTTGCCGCCCCTTGCTTCAAAAGGGGTCCGGGGGGAGAGAGAGGAAGGCGCGCGCCTTTCCCTCTGTCCCCTCTTTTGAAGCAAGGGGCGGCAACGGGGAGAAGATCGCTTCTCCCCTTTGCCGCCCCTTGCTTCAAAAGGGGTCCGGGGGGAGAGAGAGGGAAGGCGCGCGCCTTTCCCTCTGTCCCCTCTTTTGAAGCAAGGGGCGGCAACGGGGAGAAGATCGCTTCTCCCCTTTGCCGCCCCTTGCTTCAAAAGGGGTCGGGGGGGGGGAGAGAGAGGAAGGCGCGCGCCTTTCCCTCTGTCCCCTCTTTTGAAGCAAGGGCGGCAACGGGGAGAAGATCGCTTCTCCCTTTGCCGCCCCTTGCTTCAAAAGGGGTCGGGGGGGGGAGAGAGGAAGGCGCGCGCCTTTCCCTCTGTCCCCTCTTTTGAAGCAAGGGGCGGCAACGGGGAGAAGATCGCTTCTCCCCTTTGCCGCCCCTTTGCTTCAAAAGGGGTCCGGGGGGAGAGAGGAAGGCGCGCGCCTTTCCCTCTGTCCCCTCTTTTTGAAGCAAGGGGCGGCAACGGGAGAAGATCGCTTCTCCCTTTGCCGCCTCTTGCTTCAAAAGAGGTCCGGGGAGAAAGGGGAAGACGCCAGCATTTTAAAAAACCTCGGGACAGCGGGGGACTTCTCCGCTGTCCGGGGCGAATTTAAAATGCTGGCGGGCGGCAGCGAAGGCTTCGCTGCCGCCCGCCAGCATTTTAAAAAACCTCGGGACAAAGGAGAAGTCCCCCGCTGTCCCGGGGTTTTTTTAAATGCTGCCGGGCGGCAGCGCTGCCGCCCGGCAGCATTTTAAAATCGCCCCGGACAGCAGAGAAGTCCTCCGCTGTCCCGGGGTTTTTAAAAAACCTCTCCGCCCCCGCCAGGCTTCAGAGCAGCCTTCCGAAGCCTGGCGGCGGGAGGAGGTCCGAGGACAGTGGGCAAGACGCCCTGTCCCGGAGATTTCCCTATGGGCTTTCGTCTTGCGAAGGAAGCCCATAGGGAAATTCGTTTTGCGAAGCGTCTCCAAAACGGAAAAACCTTTCGTCTAGCGGGTTTTCCGTCTTGCGAGGCGTTCGTCTTGCGGGGTACCACTGTATAGGAAATCAAGAGTGGCTTGTGAGAGCCATGCAGTCTGAGCCGGAGCAACCAACTCAAAACTCTTCACATGGGAGCTTCTCAAGTAGACCCTTCCAAGTTGAGCGAAGCTGGGCAGGACAGCTTGCTCTATGGTCTTAACCCCTTCATGCATTAATTAGACTTAAGCATGTTGGTTATGTGAGGCTGCTTATTCCACATACAACTAATGTGTTTACATTTCTTTTTATTGTGAATTTTTGTGGTTTTAAAACTTTTTTATGTAAATCCCTTTTGGGAAGACTGTGGTGATAAATATTCCATAGATAGATTAGCATGATCAAAATATTTGAAGCTTACCTTTGGGGTGCTTCCTTTAATAAACTTTTTGATTGAAGATAATAAGCCTGTTTCATTTTTCTGAGGTTTTCCTCCCCCAACAGGTAAGCTCTCTTCTACATCTGAGTACTTTCTCTTCACCCTCAGTGCACGCTGCGTGTGATTTTGATTTGACTGCTGAGAAGCTTTCCGCGTTCTCAGCCTCATTTTGTTGGTATCACATGTAAAACTGTAAGAGAACAAACACCTAACATTAACCAAAGCCCAAGAAGTACTAATCATCTATGGTTTTATAGCACTTTCAATAATTAATCCAAAGCTGGGGTAACTGTTTTTCTTTTTTAACTAAGTATTTTATTTATTTAAAATAAATAAATGAAATGCCACATGCACAACTGGTTTCCAGCTCCCTAAAATGCTAAGGCTGGCATGTAGGAATTTGAAAATTCAGCCATTCCTGGCTAAAGAACATATGTTTGAGTCTCCTACACAATATTTGATCAAGATAAAGACATGAGAACTTGAGGGGTCAGGTACCCATCTCATTATCCAGGTGAGCCATATTTTCAAAGGGGACATTAGCACATGCTCAGGATATTTGCAACATTTCTATCCAGAATCTCAACATGCCTTTCAGCAGGACTCTTCATGGATGCTGCTCTGGAGTGGGTCTTCTAGAAAGAAAGGGGCAGCCGTTCAGAACTGAGAAATCTAAAGGATGCAGTTTGTGATTCTACTCTCACAAAAGAAAAACCTACCCCATACTTTGGGCATAGGGCCTGTCTGACTCCCAGAGATCAGTATACCTAATGGTTGTAGAAAATTTCATGGGTTTCTAAAGAAGAAGTTAAAGCATCATCTCCCCATTGCCATGACAAGTTAGCCACTGAAGAAAACAAGGCAGGCTCCTTCCTGCAACTTTTCTGCCCTGACCTGGAACAGGGTCATTGGTCTTACTGGCTCTTTTCCCTGAAAATAAGTTCAGCATGACCAAGAGATGTAAGTACGGAACTGAATAAAAAATTATTTTCTCTCGTTTATGTGCATTAGGACGCATACTGACAAGCCCAGTCTATCCCAGCAGAGCACAAGGAAAAATACCAGGCAGTTTATTTGTTTGCTGCATTATCACTGTGCAAATTAAGGTGTTAAACAGCCATGTCCTAATCACATTCTAATTGAACACTTATGTTTGAGAGGGCAAATGGAATATGTTACTTTGTACATCCATATTCGCAAAAGGGTAATTCAGTGACTGGCACCTGAACACACACCATATCAATTTCCAGCTCTCCTACACACTTCCTGCATGGCTAGAGGCAAGCCACAACCTGTCAGATCCTCTGCTTACCATCTGGGGAACAAGTATGTTTGTGTGGCCCACCAGAGGGAGGGAGAGGAAGCGAGCTTTCACTAATGTTTGTAAGCTGCTAACAAACAACAATGAGGAGGGAGACAAGTCTGCTAAACTCCAAGAGCACTGTGCGAAGGGTATCTAACTTTGCCAAAGTTAACAAACCAGTAAAAATATTACATCATGAAAACAGTATGCTTAGGTAAACGGGCTTCCATTTGTCAGTATTGATAACTTCAACTTCTACATTTATAAAACACAGGACTACTCTGTGAACTGATTTTCTATAACAATTGTGGCTGTTGTTTAGTCGTGTCCGACTCTTCGTGTCACTAACAATAAAAAGCCTTAATTAGGTATAATGTCAATAAAACTGCTAAGAATCACCACCCATAAACAGAGCTGTGAAATCTTAACCAGGTAAAATGAAACACAAAGGTGTAGTCTTGCCTTAATTGTTACTTTCCATTTGAAGTAGCTAAGATAAGGAGCATACAGTTTCATGCTGAAACTCTTTAATTTTAAGTTAATTTAAAAGAAGCAGTTATTGCATGTGTATGGGGAGGGGGTGTTAGGGGAGGAGTAGTACCTCTGGTAGGGACACATTGTGCTCTTTCTGTGGTAGTTTGTCCACCTTTGGTCCTCACCCTGCACTCATCTCTCACCAAGGTGGTGCCAAACGTATTGCTCTGTTTTCCTTTGGACCACATCAGCAAGCTAGAGAGGGGTTCTTATCATCTGGGCCCAGGACCTCCATACACACTGCCCAGGCTTGTGCCCTGTGGAGGTCACTTCAGTGCTGCTAGCACAGTGGTTTGATTTCGCTCTCAGAGGCGTTCTCCATTGTCTCTCAACAACAGAGTGCATTACCCAATTATAAAATGTGCCTTGGGAATTTTGTTAGGATATTATTAACAGGGCAAGATTCAAGCAATGCCAAGTCTTTTAATGTCCCATTGGTTTCAACAGGACAGTGTTATCCAAAACAATTCCATTGGAATTAATGAGGCTTCCAGGTGTTTGTTGGAATGTATCCTTAGTTTGGGGAAAACCTGAGGGGAAACATATTACCAGTCCTCTATCCAAAAGATTCAAAAAGATCCAAAAGGGAACACTGCACTTCTTTACAGAAAGCGATAGAAGGTAGGCTGCAAACGTGCACACAGAGTAAATGTTTTTGAATGGGAGATTAGGTGTCTATATTGAGAGAGCATGAGCGTTATCCTCTAAGCTGCAGTTCATTTAACTGGGCCGACTGCTAGTGCCAGAGAGTCTTTGGCTTACTTCACATCCTGGCTATCAAACCTCAGTTATAAATATCCTTAATGGACTTAGCAACAGGTACCTACAATCCTCTTGATGACAGAAGTTTGTTTTCCCATTACCTGATGCAGCCAGAACACAAGGGCTGTTTTGACTTGAATTGCACACAAACAAAACACAGAAGATTCAGCACAACATTAAATATTTGTGCTAAAGGAACATGTTCACTCAATTCAGACATTTACTGGTAGCCCACCATGGTGAAGGCGATTGATTCCTCACAGAAGTTTTATGCTTTTAACAGTTATATGACGGGCAGAAATTCAACTGGTGCAGCATTCCCTTCCACAGCAATGCATATATAGCACTAGTTAAAGGCTGATAAGCCTGAAATTCTAATGGGAAACACAAGACAAAGAAGAACTGCCTGATCTGAGAAGGTACCTCATGCTCTCTTCCTATGAGACACAGTAGTGAAGTGTGTGCAGTGAATTCCAGGTTCTATCAGATCTGAGCTGCTTTCCATAATTAGACACGAGGCTTCCTTTCTGGCTTGCCAAAAGTTTGGAGCAGCGCACTAGCAACCAACAAAGAATGTTGCTACCTGTACAACTCTAAGAAATGCTAGAAAATCAGATAATAGTGACAGAGGGCAGTAAAGAGAGCTGCATCAGGATGGGGAAATGTGTAAAATATTTCTTCCATATAATGAAAGACATAGAGAACTACTGTATTTACTTGAATCTAACGATCACCTTTTGGGGCCAAATTACGTGGTGAAAATTAAGGTGCGCATTAGATTCGATGGAACATTTACATTCACCAGCAAACACTTTTTTTGGTTTCAAGGTTCTGAAAATTGAGATGTGCATTAAATTCAATGGCTCGAGTAAATACAGTATTATTTGTTATATACAACTGTGAAATTCCCTTCCTATAAAGAGTATGAACACCTTTCAGAAACATATCCTTTTCAACAGGCTATAAGATTGGACCCAAACTAGTAAAAATACCTTTTCTAACACCTCCTTCCATAACATTACAAGAAAAGCCTTTTTTATCTGCAAATGTGTTTGCAGTTTGTGTCTCACAAACACTGAGCAGAGTTCTAAGAGGCCGATCAATCAGCAGGAGTTCGGAAGTCGTGTTGTAATTGGCAGCTGTTGCTGCCTGTCACTCTAGAATTGTGTATTTCAGCCCACCAAGCATAGATGTGTGGAGGCTGGAATTGGGAGGCATGAAGCAATGTTTCTATGAATATGCCAAGTCATACAAAGCTGATCCCTAAAACATGACACTCGATGAATTCTGACAGATGCTACAGGTACATCAGTGGCAGGATAGAGTCAAACTGCCTGCTTTTCCTAAGAACATGGGTTTGAGTTGGAAGGGCAAATATAGTCCCAACTGGAGCTCCATCTAGACTGCCTGTGATATATCAAGAAGTGTGGTATGGTTTCTGCTTGAAGTGGAAATAGCTACACTTCCAGTGTAACACCACACATATTTCACTGTAAGCTTCACTCACTTTCACAACACAGAAACACAGCAACAACTGCCCATATGCCAATTAATGTCTAAGTCCAGATCTGGCCAATGAAAGGATGCACTGAAGCTGCATCAAATTGAAAAGAACAGGGCTTCAAGCATTAATCAATTTAGCTGAACATTCATCAACCAATGAAGGGAGCAGGAGGGCTTTAAATTGTTGGTGCAAGACAGAATGACATTTTAAAAACCAAATCCGTTTTGACTCTTTATTTAAAACGAGTGCGGCATAGCATTTTCTACTAGTGATGATGAAAAAGCTGTTAATTAAACTCTAATTTATCTATATTCCCTTCAATAGCCACAAAAACACTATTTGTAATATCCAAACGTAAATAGATTTAATCCATCTATTGACATTAAGATGATTAGACAATTAAAAACTTTGGACAGCAGCAAGTATGATTCCACAAAAAAGAAATGGGTTGAGATGAGCTTTACATTATCATATTCTTGTACACTTCCCCCCCCCCACCAAGAATTTTAAGATCCTGCACTGACAATTCACAAAACTTTGTTAAGTTGCAATGCCTAAGTCCAATGAACTCAGCAGGGCTTCCTTTTGAATATATATGTGCAAGACTGAACTGTTAGTGGCTTATAAGTTTCAGCAAAACCTGTGCAGTTCCTGTTGGGATTCAGGAATGAAACAGCTGCTCCTGGAGACATTAAGCTCTCTGGATTTATAATCCATAGCACTGGACATGCAGAAGCCTATTTTTGGAAGTAATTTTCCTCTTGTTTCAAAGCTGATGTAGTATAGCCAGACCGCTAAAAACTTCCTGAATGTGCCCTTTAGGTTTTTCATGGGAAGTCATGACCCTAAATAATAATTTTATTGGCATCTTTAATTGCTTACCTCAGGCATGTTTGTAATTTTGAGCAAAACAAAGTAATTATAAGACTTAACTGGCTTAATTTTTGTGGTTCCCAGGCATTTATTCTTACACTATAAGCTTTATCAGCCAGCAATTATTTCTGCCTACTATTTAACACTTGGTAGGCTAACAAGTAAGGACTAACTGGCATACTACACAACACACAAGTAGGAAGAGTCCTGAAAT